GTCTTCCAATAAACTTGGGTTTCTAATTTACTGTTGTTTCCTCTGCTGATGAGGATCCATATTCACTATATTCAACTCCCTTAGGGAACACAGTGAATGTGCAGTCCTCACAAAGAATTCATGTGCCACTCTCAATAGACACAATATTCATCAGGCAAACAGAAGGTTCATAATTCTCCCCAGACTACATTTTCTGCCTGTATCTATAAATAAACCCTAGTAAAGAAGATATGTGGATGTGGCATTCAGATGTTTGGCTTTTCTCTGTTTCTGCTATACTTCATTGGCTGCCACAACATCATCCTTTCACACATTTTCTTTCTTTAGATGTTGCGAGGGTCAGCACTAGCCTTATGTCCCCAGCATCATCTTGTATTACCTCCAGTCTCAGAGTTAACCAACATCCATGTATTTCCTCTTCCAGAGAAAAGCCCTGTTGAAGCAAGGTTGCCTTGGTTCAAGCAAGCCCATGAAATGGAAGAGACTAGGACACTGTCTGAAGAACCCATGTGAGTTTGCTTTTTTCTTTTTCTGATATGGAAACTAAACTCCTGATGCATTTTCCTGACTGTTGGTAAAGTTTGCTATTTCCTGCCAAATCATCTGGCATTTGAATTTTCTTGGGCTGGGTCTGTCATTGCAGCTCAAGTCTCAGGTTCTTCCCAACAGATCTCTTCAAGCAAGGGGAAAAAAAAAACAACAACCCATGGCAGCCAAAAAATGTTTGAATTATATGTTTCAAAAGTGTCACAAAGGCTTCCCAGCTATTCAAAGAGTTGCCCTCCAGAAAGTATTTTGCATGGGTGACATTTGTTCCAGAATAGCTCTTGTAAGAATGATTGGTGACCTTTGCATGGAGAGGGGAGAGCAGAGAAGAATGATAGCAATGCATAATGCCAGTGATGGTATGGAAATCTCTGGTGATCCAAACATTTTCTCTCTCCCTCTGCCTTCTCTTGAAAGAACGGATTGAAGACTTCAGAAGCATTGTTTAGGTATAACATCCTTTGGTAAATGTGTTGCTAGATCAGTGTTTTCTCAACTTTAGCAACTTTAAGATGTGTGGACTTCAACTCCCAGAATTCCCTAGCCAGCAAGCTAGGCTAGGGAACTCTATGAGTTGAAGTCCACACATCTTAAAGTTGCCAAGGTTGAGAAACACCATGCTAGATGTTTCGCTTAAGTTAATCAAGAACAGGAGCTACGTATCTAGGGACTGTAGGGCGTAGATATGAAGGCAGGATTCAAAGCAACAACTGGGAATTGCCAGGAAGCTTCTTTGTCTAAATATTAAGAGAAGATTCCTAAGAGTAAAGGCTGTTTGGTGTTTTGTCAAAGCTCTTCTTTGCTTGGAGTTATTGACATATTCTCTTATTTAGATTCTTCACAGAATTGGAGTAGATAATGCCCTAGCTCATTTCTAGCACAGTAGCTCTGTTTTGGTTGTTTAATTCAGCCACTTGTGCCAATAGTACACAACCACCAACATCTGGTCAACTGGAGAGTGACCATTTCAGAGTTCTTCTGGCCAATCAAAAGTGGCTGGCTCTTGGTTGTTTCTCAGGTTTTGTTTTCCTTTTAAAAGATGGGAAAGGAAAAGGTATAAATCTATGGTGGCCCAATGAGTGGGGGTGCCATTGCAAAGTTGAGAGTTTTATCTATCTCCTGTATGACCGTGGAGGGAGCCAAAATGGAAAGGAGACAGAGTGCTTAAGAAGGCTTTGTTTCTGTGGGGCCACTCCAGGACTTTGATCTGGGAACAAGGGAAAGAGAGTTAATACTGCATTAACCTTCCCCATATTGCTTGCAAGCGTGATTGATGAAATTAGGTTAGTTCTAGCCCTGAACAGCCCAGGGTAACCCCCTCAAACTCTCCCTTCCTCCTCTACATCTGAGGTTGACATGATTAAGAAGTTGACAACACATTAACCATTCCTCCCCTGACTCAGTTAAGCAGATTGTGCAAACAGGGCCTGCAGTTTTATCCTTGGGATGTTTGACTACATGGTATTCCTAGTCAACTTTACATAACAGGCTGCTATAGTACCAAACTCCATTGCATATTAAAAATTAAAATAAAAAAGCTAGATATGCCAGAAAACTCAGCTTAAATCAGTATTCTTTGGTTACAGAGCACTGTAACCAAGAGGAGTTGAACGTGGTTAGCTACCTCCTATGTTTTTCTTTCTTTGTCCAGTTGATCTTGGCAAGGTTATGTAAACGGAGTAACCAGCATCTGGCTCAAGCCTGAAGCTGCCTTCTAAGCAAAGGGTGTTGATCCTGCACATCTACATTGCCTGCTGCTGAAAAATAGACTGGCAAGACCAGTTGAACTGAAATTAGTTTGCAGATCTGATACTATCAGATTTGAACATTTATTTGTTAAAATAATGCACAATAATGCATGACATTAGGTAAAACCACCTAGGGAAAGCTGAGGCTTTTTGGCCATACTAAGTCCATTGGAATTGGGCAGCTATAACAAATTTGAATAATTTTTTAAAAATCTGTAAACAAAATGCATTAGTGTATTAAGAAAACTGTTGCTTTTCTTACATACATAGAAATGTTAGTGTTAACTTTGTTAAAAGGCCTCAAAGTAGTATGGCAATGGAATGAATCAAACATTTGAATGGAAAAACAAGAAAGTGTTAGCAATCAAAATTGGTGGAGCCACCCATCCATGATGAACATTTAGGCTGAACTTTCCTTCCATACTCCGGTGTATTTAACTTTCCTTGTTTTGCAATTGACCTGCAGCGTCTCAAGATCCACATTGAATCCTCTTCTGGGAGTGGATTCTGTAATGTACTTGGAAAAGGATAAGCAATTTAATGACAAAAGGACATGAATTTGTTCAGTTTCCAGTACATCAAAGCTAGTTTCGATTTCATAGCTTTTCAGCCAAATTGTCTGTGGTACTATCAGCATTAGCTTTAGGACTGTACTAATGCAGCTATATTTGAAAACCTGCAAAGGAAAGAAATGCCCAAACAGTATATTAAATTCTGCTGCCCCTGTGGAGATTGGTGTACGTGCATGTGTCCTGAATTTCATATAAAATGTTTTAAAGTCTTTTAAAAATTATTTTAATTAGAAAAATAGTGAGGGTCCCCCCCCCCCCCCCCC